GCGCGCCAATATCGGCACGTGGCGCCGATTTGGGTGGACGGGTCACGAGATGACCGATCGGCTCGGCCACGAGCGCCGCTCAGGCTGATGGCCATGACGTGCGGCGAACGGCCGACCGAACGACCAAAATGACGCCTGCAAGACGACCTGAACGATGTAAATGTCGCGTGTTAAACGACCAGTTCGCGAGTCAAATAGCCAAACTCGCATGGTTATGGAGATTATGCATGTTAAATAACCAACCTAGAGGTGGGAAGGAGCACAGCCAGTAAAACAAGACACGGCTCTTGTCAGCTAACGTCGTGCCCGTGGCTTTAACCAGTTATCTCCAGCTATATCCAGTAATGACCGGCCTCAATTGGCCTGCAGTCTTCTGTGACTTTTAAAAGCTGAGAATGTGACAGTGTGTCCAAGAACGTGATGCGAAGAATGATAAGCTGCTCAAAAGGCATACGCGCGAACGAAGGCTATGCCACGAGGATGAACTTGACTTGCATCCACGAACCAAAGTAAGGCACAGAGTCAAAGCGGATAAGAGCTTATCATATACTGAACGATTCGAATGAAATGCAAGCAATAGTGTTTCAGCATACCTGTAATTGATATGGACATGCGTATGAGGAGCTATTGAGTCAAGTGATTCGATCCTACTTACAGTTCCCCCGCGAGGCACAGGTCACAACGTGGCACACATACAAAATTGGGACAGCTGTCAATTTCTGTTGGAACTGAAATGAGTTTGATAAATCTGCCACTCACTTCAGCCTGCCCACAATGTCCATCATTGTCAAGTTCGACCTCATTCACGTGGAAAAACCATTTGTGGATATGGCCAGCATTTGGCGACTGTCCATTGTTTTCAACCCCTTCCACTCTCGGCACATTTGGCGACTGTCCATTGTTTTCAACCCCTTCCACTCCCGGCACATCGGCAGCGGTGGCACGGACAAACCATTGTTTCACAGCAAGATGTCGCTGTTGAAATCAGTCATGTTTTCTATCGGTACGAATTTACCAAGCCTGCAGAATTAACGGTGTCCTGCAAAGCACACAAGTCTGCCCTGTCCGAAGCAGGGAGCGGTGCCACTACTGCCCTGTCTGAAGCGGGGAGCGGTGCCACCACTGCCGTGTCCGGAGCAGGGGCCCCAGTGTGCGCCCCCGCGCCCAGCAGCGCCGAGAGGCCACACCCCACCGGTGGCCGATGGGTCCAGGCCGGAGCTCTGACCACCTCTGACGCCCGGCACCCCAGGTACGGAACAACCCGGCGATCGGCCGGCTTCGTGGGGAGCGGCGGCGCCCGTGAGTCGGAGAAGAGTGGCGGGCAGACGCTGAGACTGGCTCCGACCTCCGGGCTCCGGCCATTGGTGCGCCACCAAGCTCGGCAGCATCGGTCGTAACAGCAACACACACACAGAACACGCGAGCGGGGAGGGGGGGGGGGGGATTCCATCGAGTACAGTTGACACCTCGAGCCGAGCACTTCCATCAAGTGCAATCAACCTGGATTCCGCTCAATGCGCATCCCTCTACGAAACGACACCCACTGTTAGCGGCCCCTCCTCCGTGCCGCAAAACCGCGCCGATCACCCTGGCACCCGTCCCGGACCCGTCACCGTAAAAAACGCGCGCCCGGGCCATCTGGCGCGCTGCGGCCCGCGTGGCATGCCGACCCGATGCGCGCGTCTCAGCAGCGCTGACTTGGTCGCGACCAGCCGCCGCCCGAGACAATGACGCCAGCGAACGCGCCGTTTTTTTTTTGGATATCGACCGCCGCCGTCGGGCGGAACGGCCGCGTTCGACGGCGACGATGCTTTTTGAAACGGCGGCCGTCGGCGGCGCGCCGGCCCGCTTTTGTCGACGTCATAAATTGCGGCTCAGCTCCCTGGCAGTGGGGGATGAGCTGATGGCTGGCGCGCGAGACTCGCTCGTGGCCGACGGCCCAGGTCGAGAGGTGTGGCGCGCGCTCGACAGCCGGCCGGCAAACGGCACCACAGGTCGCACGCTGAAGAGGGTTGCCGGTGGGTGTGGTGACGGGTGGCGCTTGAGGACGCCGCCATAGGCATAGGCCGCGCCCTCAACAGGTGCATCACTCACACCACCCCTGTCAACAGGTGGTCGGTAGCGGTGGAGCGAGGGAATGCATGCCGTCTTCAGCACCGCTCCGCCCGGTCTGGTCCTGGTGGACAGGATTTACAGCATCGAATGAAAGGCATGCAGCGTACAATGTCAGTGGCTTGTGTGTAGTCCATGCTTCCCAGACCAGTTGTCATCTTGATCATCCTTCAAACCTCCTTCTATCAGATTCCATTTTTGGCTACTTCCTCAGAGAAATCCACTACCACTTGTGTCCTCACCCACCGCTTTCGAGATTCAACGCACATTCTGCCACCATCAGCAGGACTACAAGTAATGGTTTTTCAACTTCGTGCACCAAACACCACCATCCCGCTGGCCACTCAAGCAAACAAGACACGCCAATGACCTAAAAAGCTCT